TAAATAAGCTGCATATCTTTTAAACCATCAATCACCCTCTGTTTGTCAGTTTTATAAACTGGAAAAGATTAGTGGGAAGAGAAAGGGAGGGTTGCAGCTCGTGTTGTGTGCAGGGCCAGATGGCATCAGCGAGGTGGCCGAGTGCTCCTGCTGAGTGGGGAACAGGGAAGGTGGACAGGGGCCACCCCAGCAGGACATTCCCCCACTGCTGCCTCCAGACCTACAGCCCCAAACCCTGCCTGGCCCCAGGCGTGAGGGAGCACCCGTGCACGACACTGCCCTGCTCCTCAGCTCTGGGGAGCTGGTGGTTTGGACCGTGTTTGCTGTTGAAGAATTATGGCTTCTGTAGGGCTGAAAGGGGCCCTTGGGAGAGCTGCCCTCCTTGAAACCACCACCATGAGAGCCTGCTATGGACAGAGCTCCTCACTCAGTCATGTGTGATGCTTTTAACTGTGCCAGTGCTTTTGCAACCAGGAGCTGCCCCTGCCAGCAACACTGAAACTAGCAGAGGCAGCTCAGCACCGCATCTCTGCTTTACTTCATCCCTCCCTTAGGCTTCCAGAAAGCAGTGGCCATGGGATGCCTGCCATCCAGGCACACAGAGCTRAGGGAATTAGAGCAGCCCTCCAGAGCTGACTCATCACAGCAGTCTTTGGAACACACATGCACCCCCAAATGAGGCCATGAGGCCATCAAGAGACACTGCTGCTCTGAGTTGTCCTGCCCTCTGAGAGGTAGACACTTCTCTCCCACTGTCTGTAATAATAGCAGGTGTATTTCTTGYGTTACCTGAATTTTGCTTTTGATCTCTTATTGAATGTAGTCCTAGTTTTTACAGAAGCCCRTCTCATAACTTCAAGTAAATTCACAAGGAGCTTTTTGCACTGAAAGATAGAAAATAGACCTGCTGGGATTAATCCAGCCTACATGCAATTGGCTGAATCACAGCACTGAATTTCTCCCCTGGATATTTTGAGACTTCTTTGAACATAGCAAATTAGCATTTCACTCAGGCTGATTCTAGAGATAGGGGATGAATGACGTTAATATTTGAAAATTCTGTARTAAATCTAATTTTCAGGTTTGCATGCCAAAGCTTAGCATGTAGTGAGGCACTTAAAGCTGACATATTGATGGTGTAGCTACAATTTAAACGTGTGGCTTGTCTCAGCATTTCATGCCCCTCATGTACAAAAGTTACAGGGTTAAAACCAGMGTGTTGTGAGCATGATGATATGGCTCTTCTGAATAATTAGTACCTGATAGAACAAAACAATACCACCTCACAAACTGTGTTACGATCTGTCAGCACTTGAAAAACAATTGTTTGGTAATTTAATTTTTTACCTGGARTTTTACTGGGAGGCCACAGGCAGAGTGATGCATGTTCCGATTGTGCTCTGACCTCCAAGGGTCAGTGTGTATTCCTGAAGGCAGTGTGACAGCAGAGGCTCGGTAGTTCAGCAGCAATCAGCTGAAGTGGCACAGTAATGTCCAACCACATTCATTAGGTTCCAAAATGGCTACAAACAGTGGGCCTGGATTCATCAGTTTTATGTGCTCTACAAAATTTCTGTGTGGTGAATCTCTATGGAAATGTTTCAAGGAAAAGCCCTACATAAAGTCTCCATTTATAAGCTCTGAAAGAAGGCCAGGGAATGCAGTTCTGGAGCACTCTTGGTCCAGTATATTTGTATCCTTGTCCAAAGTAATTTACCATGGATTTTGYAGTCCTAGTTTTGCTGTCTTGATAGGGGATTTACCATATGTAAGTCAWAATGCAGCAAATTAATAAAAGCATTAATTTTTAGCAAATAAAAAGCATAGCAATCAGGAGGTAATTAACTCAGACCTTTCTCCCCTCCCAGCATGGGCTGCCTGTAAGTGAATTTTTCAGAATACTGAGTTTTACAAAGACAACTGGGGTAAAYACCTATAAAATCAAACTGCACACTGTTTTTTCATTAAGTAACTGCAATGAACATGACTCACGTTACAGAACTAGTTGCAAGCAGATCTGCAATGGAAAACATATGCCAGATTGTGAAGAATCCCAGCAGCAATAACTTCTTGGCTGTAAGCTGTGTGCAGGACAATTCTGTGTYGTGGTGAATTGTCCGTGGTAAACTACCACGGTTTAATCCATTAAAAGTGCAAAAAGAACAGAGCTTCTCAATGTTTGAGTTCAATAAGCATTTGGACAAACCCCTCAGGCACATGTGTGACTCTTGGGGTSTCCTGCAAGGGTCAGGAGCTGGAGTTGAAGATCCTGATAGGTCCCCTGTAACTTAGGATATTGTAKGATTCTGTGTGTCTTCCCTGCTGCAGTCAGTGAGCTCTTGTAATCCCCTCCTTTTTGGCATGTGGAAGGAGCCCCATGAGTAGCTGAAGTAGCCCACAGGAGTGAGCTGGCCATTAGAAGGCAGAATAACCTCTTGGAGTTTTGAAACAAATGTTATAGCTAAATATGGATTTGGTGAAGGAAAAAGATGTTGCGTTGTTTATAGAATAAGAAAAGAAGCTGGCAGTAGCATTTTGTGTCCTCTGAGATCCGCTCTACTGYCTCACCTCAGTGTTTTCCTCCTGACAAATGTGTACTCGCATGGTAGAAATTTCAGCAGCTCTCTTCATTTGAAATTGGCATTCCCTGMTCCCATAAGACAAGACTACAGAAAAGTGAAATGCTACAGAGAACTCTAGAATTTCTTACCTACACTGCCAAGTGCAAGTGGGGGATTTTTGATAAGGGAACTGCAGTCTTTGAAACAAGTGAATGGAGAGTAGAACAGAGGCAGGACTAACAGGACACTTGGAAATAATTGGTGCTTTTCACATAACACACAGCAACACTTAGAGCAGCAAAAGAGTCATTAAAGACAAATGCCTTATAGCAACACAGAGTGAATCTAATCTTTGGTAGGACTTTTTGGGGGAGGTGGTGAGAAAAATACAGGAATGGAAAGTATGAGAGGTTTTATCAATGAGCTGCATGCTGCTACACATGATCTGTGGCATTTATTATATCAATCATTTAACCTATCCTCATTAGATGCTAATTTTCTTTTAAAATGTGAGTTTTCAGGCTACATCCCTATCCCATCACATCAAGAAGTAAAACTAATTATGCATTATTTGTTACAAGTAGTTTATTTATATCATATGAAAGATACGGATCAAATCCATACCTTAGGCAAAACATTTCTTAGCACTAGAATTTTTGAAACACAGATTTAATTAGGTCTTAGATTAAAATATGGCTCTTCTGAAAACTATGGAAGAAGTTTATGTAAGAAACCAAATTCTATGTAACAARACCACTCTCTTCCGTGCCATATACCCACAGGAATATGTGAGTCTTTCCATAAATGGAATAAACAATACTCTGGGGATACTCAGGAATGCATATAGTGGTTAGTTTTTAACAGGACACAATAAAGCATTGTATAGGGATTGCATTCTRGCAGTCAATGGAGATGAAAGTAAAAAGGGTTCAGTCATGGAGAGGCAGAATAAGCATACAACAGGCACATTTAAAAACCCTTTGTTATCTGGGTTATGCTGTACCTTCCTGATGCAAAATATCAAATTTACTGGACCCYCAACTCAGCAGTACCAGAATTTGTTACCAGGGTAACAAAACTATATGCTGGCCTTTGTAAGCATGTGATCAAAGGGACTATCCAATTTCCACCCACTGTKTGCAGGCTGCCAATTTAAATATTTATTACCCCTTGAACTGGCCAGCCAGCAATGCAGCAGCAGAGAGGGGCATGAACCACACATGTGCTGCCACTGACCTGGGACATGWTCTGCTTTCTGGAAAAGCTACAAGAGAAATCTGAAGCGAGCATGCTGTGGCTACATTAGTAGAATAATTTACTACGTGCTCTAAAAAAACAAACATCAAAAAACCCCAACCAAAGAAAAGCAATTACAATTATGCTACAGTAAGAACAYTGCCTCAGTAATGTCTCAAGAGAACGGTCCTTGCTATAAGCCTACCACGTGAGCTTGGTAAAACTAACGTATAGTTTCATTATAGATTAGGAATTTATAAAGCCATAAAGCATTAATTGCCTTTWAAATGCTGTTGTTCTATTAAGTGATTTGAATGGTTARTCATTTTCTCTACATAGCCAAGCTGTCTTTTAAATGTGGTGTAGAATTGAACAAATGACAGAAAACTGGGATGCTGGGGCTTTTTTACTTCTGTTGCCTTGTGGGGCCTGCCTTCATGAGGTAGAAAAAGTTCAGGTGTGCCCTGCCAAATGCGAGCACTTTCTTTTATTTATATAATCKCATTCAGTAGAATATACCTCATCATCACCAACAAATTACATGAAGCAAGCTCTAAAGTTGTTTTTTTTTTCCCTTGTGTTTTGCTCAGTAGTAGAATGTAATGGCCAGAAAGGTGCTAGGAAATGAAATATAAATAAGTATTTATTACTCTTTTCAACTAGGATTAACATAATAAACGTCATCATTTCCTCACCTAGTCTGGCTTAGTACTGASCAAAAGCTAGCCTTCCCTATGCTAAACATACAGATGGATTCAGATTTGCTCCCAGCATTCTGTTCTCAGAATTCTAGGTATCAATTTCTCTTCATCTTTCCAAGTCCGTGCAGCTTTTTGCTGCCATTTTTGGTTTCTGCCCAATTTGTTAATAACCTTGTCATAGATGCTGTCCAAAACTTAACACTAACCCAGCTGCAGCCTCACAACCACTGAACATTGRTTGTAGCAATGTAATTTCTGCACAGAACTTTTTCTAATTGCTGCTCTCATGGTTCGACATTCATGCTCAGTTTATAAATATCTCAAGTCATGTGTTTAAACTATAAAGGAATCTTAGTACTTGGCTGTTACCTGTGGTTTTGAGAGATTCTTAGAACCACAGCAGAGAGAAACAGAAAATCCAGGGAAACCACTGCTCAGCTCTAGTGTTTTCTTGCTCTTTTTCATCATTCCCCCCCCCCCCAGTGAGAGCCCATTGCATTTAATATTTTATTTCCAGCTTTCTTCTTTCGTAGAGTGCTACAAAAAGTACTTCCTAAGCATATGCTAGTTAAAAAAAAAAAAGCTACACTTTTTACTTTATCCTTCCCCTTGAAAAAAAATTCTCCCCATTTTAAACAGCTGTCTGGAAGAAGGAATACCGATGTGTTCCTCCAGCTCATTATGCAATACACGGAGCTTAAATTGTTCCTTACAAATTTTGTTTACYTTTAATGTTTTGGTAAAAATCCCACTCGCAATGATTTTCCCTTTTTGGCTCTTAAATGAAGGCAGTGGTTAATTGTTGAAGGGCCTGATGGAAGGAGCTGCTGAAGGCTGCTAGCAGGGAGGCTTGGAGAGCTGAACTTACTTTAAAAACTCACAAGAGRTAGCTGACATATTTTAGCTTGCTGTCAGCTGGTGCTCTCATAAGACCATAGACAGCAGGAGTGAATGTAGGAGGAAACAATACATCTGCGGACACTGGCAGATAACATTGCTTGCCAAATTTGGCCACAGTTCCTTCAGATAAATAATTTCTCAGTGACGYGCTGTGTTGAAATTATATAAACAGAAAAAATTACTAAGACCTGRGCCCCAGGGTTTTGTGTGTTTCAAGATTTTGCGATCAATATTCTGACATCTGCAAATATTTTTCCTTAACAGCTGATGCCAGAGCAACATTACCGTCGCTTTCTATGTATTCAAGATTTGAATATATTAAAATCTTGTCTCTTCAGCCCCAGTCTTGGTCAGGATCTTTACACTGTCATAACCATCAGCACTTGTAGGAGAAGGCTTTTGCAAGAGTTATCAAAGCAGCAATCTTTTCTCAGAATGGCCCRTAATCTCTCACAGCAACAAYTCCATTAGCATYTCAAGAAATGTACATGTAAAAACAYTGTATTATGTTTCAGTCTCCAGAATCATCAMGGGTTTTAGGGAAACTTCTGTTGAACCTGATGTAGCTTACGTTGCACATCGAAGGTATAGGATTTTCTTCCTTAGGATCTGAAAACAGCTAGCTAGTTCTGTGGTAAGACTTCCTTGATAATTAAAATACTTCCACTGTAACAGCCACACACATTAGAGCTATCTGAAAAGAGCCTTTTGTCAGAGGAATTTATACAGGAAATCAATGTGCAAGATTCTCCCTGAACAGAAACAGCCCATAGGAAAACCTTACCTGACTTTTATAGAAGCATCTCTACACAAGCTTCTGAAGTTATAAAACCAAAGCATTTATTGAACAGACATGTTTTAAGAAATCAGTTTCCATAACAGAAATCAAGCCTATGCCTGGGACCTCAGACACTCTGAAGGCAGCAGCTGTGGAATATTGACAGTTACCCATGGCATTGAGGAAACATGGGCTATACAAAATGAGTAACTACATTTATTGTTATTGTTTAAGTAGGGAAGGCCAGACAGGAACAAAAATGTACTTCTAAAAGTTATGCTTTTCTTTTGATGATATAATCTCCAGCACCTGGTCCTTCCTCTAGCAACACTCCCAAAGTAATAGTGTTCTCTGAAAATAGTCTGAACAAAATGAACACACTTTGTTCCATTTTCAGTCYCCCATGTACTAAACAGGAACAAAGCAGATATGCAAGTATGGAAAAGTCTCTCAAATGCTTTCTTATTTCAGTCTTACCTTAAGGCAAATTTGTACATTTTAAAGGAATATCTTGAGAATTAAGAGTTTATGAAACTCTTTTTTCCTTGTTGTTTTTGATCAAAGTTATCTTTCTCAGAGAAACAGGTATGCAGCACCGTAATAACCTCTCAMAAGTGTCTTAGGATAAGACCATGTCAGTGATGTTTATGTAACTTTAGCATCTGCAAGTATTTCTTAAACTGACATTTGCAGTCTAACTGTACAAGACAATATTTCAGTAGTTCAGAGCAGTGTTATGTCATTTCAATGAGTTTAAATGCTGAGGGCAACAAGGTAAAACTACCTCAGTATTTTATTTCCATACAAAACATATGAAAGGAATAACAGAATATTTTATCTTCTTAGAGCCTCATGTCTTTGAAAAAAGGATGCTGCAAAGCCTCTTTTGCAGTTATTCTCGTTGCAGGGTTTAAGTCTAGTAGCTTATCAAGTAGGTCATATGCTTCATCAGGAACCTGATCCCATCCTTTCATGTCAGTYGCCCTCATTTCCAAAGCACCATCACCTTCCTGAAAACTCTGTTGAATTTGTTTTCCGAGTATCTCAGGAGCACAGRATTTGTCTGCTGCAACTGGCAAAGCTCTGTTGGCTTCAGACCTGCTGGGCACTTCCCCCTGAGATCCCTTACCGCTGCTATTTGTTCCTCTCAGCTTTTCACAGAGGCTTCGTAAGTTTTGTGTTGGGACAACTTGGGTACACACAACAGATTTGCCTAGGGAAAAAGGTTGTAGAGCAAGGCACATCTTATTGTATTTTCTATGCAACTGTAACTTCCAAGTTTGTTTCAGAGAAACTTCATGTCTCAAAGTATAACCAGCATGAAAGAAAAACATCCCAAATCTATCAAAGAACCAAATCCAGCCCGCCATGCCTCCACACCAGCCCAGCTGTTACAGCAGTAGCCCCCGAAAGTTAGAAGGGTCATCATCTCAGTTCTGCTCAGAACAAAGAGCTTTGGGTTATGTGAAGGTCAGCCACTCCATACATCAACTTCTTAACAGAGCTGAAGACAATTAAATACTGATTTTTACACCTTTGTCTGAAGAATGAAAATTGATGCTGGCAGTTACACATTGAGGTAGCAAATGCTGCAGCATTTGGCCTGTAAGGAATTAGGGGTATGGTTATTTGGATCTTTTGTGTTTTGTGGTGCTTGTGTTTCTTTTAAACAGGCCAGATGCTGGGTTTTGGTTTTTTTGGTTGTTTGTTTGACTAGTCCTTCTGGGGGAAGGGGGCAAGGCGAAAAGCAATGTTTACATCATTTAAATATTAAGTCATATTGACTTTAGCCTCCAGGCCAAATTTTGTAGGAATAGAAACACTGTCTCAAGAATTTTAGCCAAATGCCAGTAGGAAACATTTAGTTGGCATATTTCACCTCAAGTAGCCCTGACTTAGAGAAAGGCAGCAGACAGGTTGAGAAGACTATGACAAAGTACCCCATGCACACATTGTAAAAGACAGAAAACCACAAAACTGTCTTAGAAGTCTGTAAATATATAATAATGCTTAYAGATTTTACATGCAAAAATAACTTCCAAAATTACTCTCAAACATAAAAATATATTTATATACACACAAAAATTMATTGGTTGTATATTACGGCATTAAATAATAGTTTCCCCCTTTCCCCATAATTAAGGTTTGCATACCAAAAGTTCTAGCAGCCTGAATGGTTTCTCTGGATCCACGAACTGTCATGATTTGTGCCAAAGCAGTTAAATCATCACTTGCTTTGAAAAATGGATACCGTCCACTGAGTAGAGAAAGGAAGATGATTCCTGCAGACCACATGTCAATTGCTGCAAAGGAAAGCAAATTTATTAATAACTAAACTCATGATTTCATCACAAACAAAATCCCAAAACCAGCTTTTGTTTCAGTCTGAGGTGCAGTACCTGTGGTCTGAGTGGGGCATTTTGTTAATACTTCTGGGGCTCTGAATCCAGGAGTTCCTGCCCTGGGAGCCACTTGTTGACGCCTTGTAATAAGAGACAAATATATTTAGAATATAAAAATTGATAATTAAGTTCAAAATCTAATAATGCTTAATATTGTTTTTAGAATATATTTGTGTAATATGTATAAACAGCCTAACCCTGCTTTATTCAAGTTTTTATAGATGTTTGAAGCATCTTACCTAGCATGAAATTATAAGATACACAAAGTAGTAGATAAAGATCTATTATATTTTAATGACATTATCTAGCATAAGATACAGGGAAATAGTTATTGCATACTTAACTCATAATGACTTTTTCTTAGCTTCATCTAAGAGAGGCATCATTTTTGTTAAAGGCTTGTTTTCATAGGAAACTTTGAAGTTGGGGCTAATTAACCAAAGGCAAAAAGCATGAGATTTTTGAATGTGGATGCTATGGCTTTGTATTAGTTCAGAGCAAACTAAAGGTCTCTCTGAGTGCTGCCAATCATTTACTTTTTGTTACACTAACTATAAGGTGTGAGGTTATCATTATTTAAAGAATCGTGTGGATAAAGGGCAATAGTAGATCATAACCAAAACTAACTGCAGAGGGATGGAGTTTAACTGAGCTACTAAGATTCTCCACCATGAGACACTGGAATAGTTTGCCCAGAGAAGCTGTGGATGCCCCATCCCTGGCAGTGTTCAAGGCCAGGCTGGATGGGGCTTGGAGCAATCTAGGGGTCTAGTGGGAGYTGCCCCTGCCCATGGCAGGAGGGTTTGGAATAAAATGACCTTCAAGTTCCCTTCCAACCCAAACCGTTCTGTGATYCTATTCAGTTTTTAGATGAACAAATACAAAACAGTAAATGTTTCCTTTTTATTCCACATTTCATGACTTCCAGAACCCAAACTATTGGCATAATTTAGCCCTGTTAGGTAACTACTAAATGACAGATTGATGTATTGTCTTTCTAAGTGTTGTCATTAGCTCAAGTGRTTTTCTACAACACATGCAAGTGAATAAGTAAGAAGGAGAAGAAGAAAATAATTAACAGGAAATCTTTCTAGATGCAGATAGCAGTGAACTAGTCCATGAATTCCATTAACTATTTTTGTTTAAAAAGGGCATACTGAGTGTTTTAAGGGCTGCAGACATTAAATGCTATCTTTCACTTACTAAATCAGCAGTCTAGTAAATCTAAGTTTCTGACTTTGCTTGACAGCAGAGCAGATGATTTTACAGCATTATCAAAGCAAATTACCTTGAAAGGCAAACACTGCAAACTCTGTCCGTTTCATAACAGTCACAGGGCAGGTTTAAAGGGCAACCACTGGCAGCTTTCCTCGCCACCCCATTGCTCACAGTTTTGGTAGAAATGATCTTCTTCTTTGTTACCAACTTCCTAGATGAAACATCTATCATCTTTGATTGTTTTATGAGCTGCAATGTAGATATTTTAGAGAAGGTGACATGTTTAAGAAGTTTCCCTTTATATATAGATAGGCCAGTACCAAAAATACTGACTTAACAGGTGCTCATGAACAAGAAGAATTTTAGGACAGATATTGCAAACCTTTTTAACAGTACCAGAATGGCTATAAAACAGACATTGGAACTTTCTAAATATTCTGATTTTCTTCTCTTCCCCTTTAGAAGACATTTTCAGTGTTTAGTAAAATGCAATATATATTAGATAGTCTGAAGCTGCAAGACAAGTATTTTTCAAGTTACTATAGTGTTTCAAGATTTTTTTGGCTCAGTATGAGAATAAGGAAAAAATATGAAATGCCACAGCAACACACAGATATTAACTCTAGTTCTACGATAAAATATCACTAACCAACCTCTCTAATTTAGTTGGGGTTTTTCCCTTGTCATATTAAAGACTAATTACACAGAAATAGTTACAAGTTGTATCCTCAGCTTCAACTGCAAAATAATTTAAAAGTTTCACAAGGTAAATAGGGAGTGGTGGAGCACTGGAACGGGCTCCCTGGRCAAGTGATCACCGCACCAAGCCCGACACAGCTCAGGAAGTATTTGGACAATGCTCTCAGGCACATGGTGAGACTCTTTGGGGGTCCTGTGCAGGGCCAGGAATTGGACTYAATGATAGTCATGGGTCCCTTCCAGCTCAGCTTATTCTGTGATTCTGTGATTAGTGGCACAGACAGATGTATAGGAAAAAAAATTAACTTAGCAACCAAACAAGATCAGCTAGGGAGAAAGCTAGAGAACTCGTTTAAGAGTTTCAAAAGGGATTGAAACAGAAATGAAAAATTCTTTTGAGTCTACCAGAAAAGACACATTTAATAATCCGCTCAAAAACTTCTAGCTTCATRGTATTCTGCAGCAGTGACTAGTCTTACAGAACAACCAGTTCTATAAATTTTCAAGTATGCAGCAGATTGATCCTACTGATGAATCATACTTCTTACTTTTGTACTCGCGTTCTCCTGGTATGTGGAACTATAGACATTGAAATTCCTCTCTCCAAAGACAGAGCGCTGGACAGAATGGTGCACAGAGTCCTCCTACAATACCAACAAAAAGGACAATAAGGATCCTGTTTAACAGGCATCTGGGTCCTGACAGTTTAAAAAAAAACCTGTGAATTGATATAAAACAAGAACAGCTGCATATAAGTAATTTTCAGGCATCCGYTTACTGTGAGTGAAGAAACATGGTCTAGACAGAACAGCAAACATGTTTACAAAACGAATCACACCTCTGAAGTACCCCAAGACAATCTCAGTGTAGTCWGTACTAAACATAGGTGAATGATTATTGGCTTGGGGAAGAGTTTCACCATATACGTCTCTTAAAAAAGGATTTAAAGCTRTCTATAGTAAGCCATGCTAGGGTTTTACATAGCCTTCAGCACTGTATTACATCTAACAGATACTGATGAAGCCAATAGTTCTGTAGAATTAGCTCCATCAACATGAACACTGTGATGCTGTGCACTCTCCTGGGGCTCTGCAAAATGTTCAGGCTCRGCTCCTGTGCAAGTACTGCATCTCCCCCTGTTGGATGAAGAAACATATACAACTGTATAATAAATGAGACTGAGAAACTTTCCTCCTCTTCCTTGTGTCATCTGTACTTTTGAAAGTCAGCTGCACCTATCAGCTGCTTTTGAGGCTGACAGTTGAGTATCTGATTAGATTCTGTGACACTGACAGAAACCCCATTTCCCAATTCTACAAAAGGATTATTTTGTAAGCAACTTGCCTGCTGATCTTCAGAGTGCGCAGTTTTAAGAAGCTCAATTTTTGTATCAGGAGTTCCTTGTGCCAGGCCAAAATCTACGAGGGCATACCTGAAAAGACACAGATTTAGAATCAGGAGTTATAAAATATATATTAATCAATCAATTTACTATCCATTACTTATTTATCTTTCTTTCACATTTTMTTCAATGTTGCTTATCTGTACTGCTGACAGCTTCACTATCCTATTTTCTTCCTTCTCCTGCTATTGTCCCATCTTACCTATCCCCCCAATATTTTTACCCTATATCACTGGTCATTGTTTCTTGTTCCAAAATCTTCTCAAGTGCATGCTTTCTCCAGAGGCATTAAAAAAATATTGCCAGCAACTCTTTTTTGAAGTTCTTCTAATCGTACAGCTCTGAATCTTGAGCTAGCAGTCACGTACAAGTGACTTGACTCTTGCASTATTCCCATGGGCAGAGGACAAAGGCAGTAGTGAAGGCAGACAAGACCAACAATACTTAAAGTTTTGACAGACTTCTAGCAAATACTACGGGAATTTACCTCAGTCTCCAAACAGGTATGACTACATTAGTTCACACTTCRGATCTGTCTCTAAAAAGAATTATTTTTTGCTACAACCAGTACAGAGGCAATCCAYCTGCCCCTGGGTCTCAAATTCAACTCCATGCCTCCAGATACAAAGTAGAGGTTAAGGCTCAAACAAATGCTGGAACAGCAAAATGACAGTACATATTCATTTTGACAGATTGAAAAAAAAYCCCAGTATTTCTCAAACTTTCAAGCTTGTGGTTTGGCAAAATGCAGTCAAATCTTCCCTACAAACTTTCACTGCATAGAATCACAGAAACACTGAGGCTGGAAAAGGCCTTTAAAATCAAGTCCAACTGTTAACCCAGCTCTGCCAAGTCCTACAAAACCATGTCTCTTGGTGCTAGACCTACAAGTCTTTTAAATTCCTCCAGGCATGGTAACTCAACCACTTCCCTGGACAGACCATTTCAATGCTTGATAACTCTTTCTGTAAAGGAATTTTTCTAACGTTGAACCTAAACCTTCCCTGGTGCAACTTGAGGCCATTTCCTGATRTCTTACCCCTTTTTACTAGTGGATGTACATCCTGCTACAACCTCCTTTCAGGTGGTTGTAGAGAATGATGAGGTCTCCCCTGAGCCTCCTTTTCTCCAGGCTGAGCCCACCAGSTCCCTTCACTGCTCTCTTAAGTCTGGTGCTCCAAACCCTCCGCCAGCTTCAGTGCTTTGCTATGGACACACTGAGCACCTCAGTGTCTCAACTGTACAGACCACAATGCTAACAAACACATTTATAGGGCTGCTAGCACTGAAGCATTATATCCATTTCAGCTCTTCACAAAGAAGCAGTACCTCATTTTTTGCAGTCTTTAAATTTTGTGACTTGCAGGCAAAAAAGCCAACCCTACTAGTTATAAATATTAATTCAATGTAAGGTGAAAACASCCCAAAGCCAGCTATCTTATCTGTATCAGTTTTACTCTATCCATYACTAAAAATGAAAAGATCATTCTAGGCACCACAAGTTACAATTAACTTTCTTATTTAAAAAAACCTCTGATTTTATTCTTCTCATCCTTATTTGAAAATGTAGTACTTTTACTCAGTAGTAAAATCTTCATTTTATCAGGTACTTGCCACTCTATGAAGCAGATGCTGTATTAAGTAAAAAAAAATCCTTTCCTTCTTAAATCCTTTAACATTGGAAGAAAAGTTTTAAAAATAAAAAAATAATTGTAGCTTTATTACTTAAGCATATGTTATGCAGCTGGAAGGAAAGAAGCCTTAAAGCATAATTGACTGTTTTCTGCCAAGGCACACATCCCTGATGAGATCACAGCATGACCACACTCACTTTTTTAGCTGCCTGTTGTAGAGGAAGTTGCTGGGCTTGACATCACGGTGAACAATACCGAAGTGATGAATGCGCCTCAACGCTTTAAACAGATTAAACATGTATTCCCTCACTTCTTCAAAGGAAAGCAAATTCAAAATGTCCTGAAAGATTATTTGGATACTRTAATTTATAGAATCATACAATAATTATAGAATAATTATGCAACTGCTTTTAATTAAATGTTTTACTATGCATCAAAAGTCTGAGACTCACCAGGAAGGATTCATGTTCCAGATATGGCATAACAATAACAACATGATCATTTTTCCTAAAGCAGTATTTAACACCCATAACATTATCTTGTCCCCTAGAAGAAAAATAAYGTTACTAAACAAAGACCAGAACATGGATGTTTATTTTCCTTTATTTCTTAAAAACTTCAGTCAGGCTTTCTTTTATAATCTTARTTTATATTTTGATAGCAGTCTTATCAGCAATCAGTAGTTGTGCTCTTGCTGCTCACTGCTATGTTCCATTTGAGCTCTGAAGTTTGSAATGAGAACTCCACAGATTACCTGTGGGGCAGTGGTTTGTAGTCACCACTGTAATTAAATATAGGACCTAACTTTCATGATCCTACTACTTTAAGAAGGTGCTATTCGGCACACTCTGCCAACACGTATTCATTCTTAACCCACATTTTCTAATGAAGTGATTCTTTTTTTCAAGCATTTCAGAACTGGAATTTTGTTACCACAGAGATACACACTGGAATTTCTCAGACGGAAAATAGAGCACCCTCCCCTCAAACTGAGGTTTAGCAGCAAAGGGCATCCATTACAGGTAATACAACTTCTTTTGTTATTTGCTCTCAATAAAAAGAATACACATGTGTGTGGTTAAAAACTAATCAAGAGAAATGCCAAAACCTCAAATAAATATAAAACAGTGAGACAATGTTCAGCAGTTTAGTCATGACAATCAATTTTTTGTTTATGTACCCTGCTACTGTGAGGCACTGAAGTTCAGCAGCWATTCGCAGAGGGTGGCTGGTTGGAATCAAGTGTTTCAGAGCCATTTTTTCCTCACATCCCGTTTGTAGTTGTGCTGTGGCTAAGTAAACAGAACTAAAAGTACCTGTAAACAAAGGAGAAAAACACTGTCTTCAACATTTTTAATTAGGTCAATGCAGATTTTTACAGAAGTGATCTAACTGTTCACAATCCTGCAGTACACTTGATACTACATCAAAAGCCGATTCAAGCAGAGAAAAATCCAGTACCTTTTTTCTACTTCTGAATTCAGTGATCTTGTATACAAGTTTTTTATGTCAGTAAAAATGCAAATATAACACTGTCTAACTTGCCTGGGACACAGTGCTCTTTGAATGTAAATTTCCTATCTTTGATTTGCTTTCTTGTTTAGGTAGCTTACTTTCATCTGACATCTAACTCCTCTCCCGACAATGTAAGAGGACTATATAATGCTAATCTGGAAAGCACTGCCTTTGCTATTCACAGCACTTTTGAAATTGCTACATTTTCCTTAATTCTGTACCTTATCTATAAAGTAAGACTTCCCACATGACAGGTAATTGTACTGTTGGTCTGCCCAGAGCATTTCACCACATCGAATGYGATACACTTGTTTGAGAAACGGAGTATTCAGACTGTATGACAAACTTACCCAGCCATTTAATTTTAAGGGTATCCTACCTTATGAGGGTAATTTATTCTAATGATCTGAGAAATCTGAACATTCAAGTTGAAGTGTTCTTCCATATGAATAAAGAATAGAAATTACTTTAAATTACGTTTTAAGTAACGTGTTTGCATCKTGCTGGTTCAACAGTCTGAGTGAACACATACATCAAAATGCCAGCAAAAACAAAATACTTCATGCAATCATAAAAAAATCCCAAACAACCTAAAGACCCATGCCTTCAACAGAATTTATTATAGCAAAAAGGATTATCAAATTTGACTTAAGACATTACTTTTGGCAGTRAGAACTGCTAAAATGAAAGTGATTCMAGAGTGGAATCCTAAGTTGAAGCTTGTTTTCTCATAATGCTGTTCAACTGCAAACGGTATTTCTTAAAAACATTGTTTCCTCATCCACTTCTGCCCAAGAGGTTTTAATGGAAACAAAGCCAACTTAAAGAACGCCAATTAAGTATGTCAAAACACAGCTACATGTAAGTAGAATTCTCATGTAAAGGGGAAAAAGAATGGAACTTTTGGACTTATTTACTTGAATCTACCTCAAAAWTTTTTAATTGTCAAAACTGGAACGCCGTTTTTTTAAAAGGCAGATTTTGTCAGATTTTCAAGAAAATATATTGAAAATGTTCCTAATTAATGCTTCTATGTGCTCAGCAACATATTAGAATTCCTACATAGACCACGTAGTAAGTCAAAAAAAGGCATTTGGCTTAAATTGAGTATATTGGGATCTTAGATTTATACTAATATACCATTAAGTTAGAAATGCAAAGAAATCTTAAGTCTAAGCACACTAAAATGAAACATTTACCTTCTCCAATTTTTTCCTTAATTTTGAACACATTTACAAGCTGTGGCACTGCTTCATAAAGCTTTTCAATATCTTTTTTTATTCCTGCTGTGGAAAGAATGGGGAAAATAAGTTCAGAATTTTATTACTTRATTCAGTATCCATACTGGAGATCACAAATTACACTTCAGTTCATATGACTGTGGATTCACATAAGCAGGGAAAGTCAGCGCAAATGTATCTTATCCCTGCTGACATTACCACATGCATGCTTGATATTATTGTTAATCATCAGTAAACAATTCTTTAAACAATTATTTTTTACTTAGCTGACACATGGCAGATTCTGCGATGGCAAAAGCCTTCTCAGCTCACTGCCTACAGCTCACTACTAAATGTTTACATGAGATTTGCAGCAGCAATTTSACAAAAGGCAGAACTATAATAGTTGTTTCTATAAGCATAGGTGCAAATCCATCAGATGCAAATCAAAAATGCAGAAAAATAATTTTTAATGCAATCTTTYACAATGTTACTTAAAAATAGTTGACGCCGAACCATGTTTGCTCTGCATTTAGRTTGCTGCACTTCATGCTGCAATCGCTAGATGGCACAAAGATGCTGTACCATATTATTTCCAAAAAATCATATAGTTTTCCATTGAGTTTACAAATCCTCGTTTAAGTGTTTTTCTACACACATAAGAATTCACTTCTTTTGAAGATATCAATTATATAGAGGCTGTGACTAATTTCTGTGAAGGGGTAAAGAATATTTTAGTACACAGAACTAAGCACAAACTRGTATTTGAAAAGTCAATCAAATGAAGAAACATTTATACATTTTTCATCCTAAAAATAGATAAATTAAATTTAGAATAAACAGAAAAATTGAACTGTATTTTATATGCAAAAATGGACTATGTTTCAGCAGAGCAGTCAAGTCATAAGCAATAAGATTCTTTTTCAAAATATCACAGCTATGCTAGAAACAAAAGTGTGTATRAGCATGCATCCCTAGCCTTCTATGTAGCTCATTTTAAACAATGACAGAATCTCCCTGAAGAACCCTCTTTTCCTGATAGCTAGTAACTCAAGTTACAGTTAACTCTCAATTTTAATTTTATTAATTTTTTTCTTTTTTATTTCAAACTCTTTACAGCTGCTTGTGTGAATGATCCTGAGAGGTGCTAGAAAAAGTCGGCAACTGTCCTTGTTGGCAAGACAGCAGTATAAATATCACCTGGTCTCTTCTGCGGGCCTGAATACCCCAAACTGAGTATAGAGAATATAGWCATTGTGCCATCAGTGTAATAATACTACCAAAAATATCCAGCATTTTCTGTGAGCAGATTTTAAAGTGATTTCTTCCCTTATTTGCAAGCAAGACAAGCATTATTCAGCATCATTCTGGATATGGATGTGCAGGASATTGACAGAGGACTATATATTTTTTAAAAATCAGTAGCCTTTAAATCTATAAATTGGCTGACCATCTGGGATTACTAAGCAAACACTGTAGAGGAAGTCCAGACCCAGCAACATACACAAAGTGACTCAAAAACAAACAACAAAACCACTATCAGAACACATGTTCTTCGTTCAGCTTCTACAAAGGAAAACAAAAMGAGTGTTTTTATGCACATAAATACATCTAAAGATATTGAAACATAAGGCTGGTGATTATAGGTTAAAAGGCAAAATACTGGTTTTGAATACTGTCTGGTCAGAGTTTATTCCAAGGGCTGGCTTTTTTCATTCTGGTATCCTCTTATAATAACATRTTCTGTAATAAATAAATAGTAGGTTTAGCAAATTGTGACAAACTACTGTTGCTGAAGTTTTGCAATACAAAAAGAGCAGGAATAAACTTAAAAGCCACCTCAAATGTTTTCATTTCATAAATTCTTTATACCACAGGATCATATACACACAGGCTTATAACAATATTAAAATTTCCCTAAATAATGAAGCAGTGTGTCAGAAACAAAATATAATGTTAACAATCTCTATTTCAGCACATACCTGAAAGCCTGCTGTTCTGCTCAAGATTCCCGTGGAAGTCTTCAGCCTGCTGAGGGTGCTGTTCATCACAGGGAGACTTCACCACCGTCTCCATCACAAAACAAGTCTCAAGTAAAAAATAGCCAAGACTTCGAGGGCCACTTCTGGACACCTGGGGGAGCAAGCATATCTGGTAAGACACTTCCTGGCCCTGCACTCAGCTCCTGAGATGAGATTTAGGGAGTCTGAGGAGTTCCTCTGTGCTACCTAAACCAGCAAAGTGTCACTGTGCCAGTGACACAGTAAACCAGTAAAGCCACAAGAGGACAGAGGAGGAAAGGAAGGCTGCAGGGCAAGCTTAAATACAACTGATTTTCATGTCTCATGTTTCCTCATTCACATTAAATCATCATTGTCTTTTTTCCTGAAGTTTGCTTTGAAAGGAAAGGAACTGATGCACACAAACAGCTGCACTGCACACTGCAACAGCTGTAGAAAGTCAGAAAACTAGAAAGAAATCATAGGAGAAAAAAATACGTTCTCAATACAAGAGATCTCTCCCTCCTAAATAAGTTGAATAAAAGGCATAATTATTTGTTGCCCCCCCAACACAAGAAAAATAGAACATGCTTATTTTGAAATGCTTCTTTCCAAATCTTGGAAACATTACATAAGACTGTATACCAATAAAGTCCACTAATGTTGTACAATCAACAAAACCCATATAATCCCTTTTCAGGAACAAGAGTGACAGGGAGCCCCAAGGCAGAACAACCAGTGACAAGTGAGCCTGGATGCACCAGCTCTTATAGTTACTCAAAACTGTTCCATTCAAAAATCTTCCTTCCTTGTTACTTTGCCAAACCTTCAGAGYTCTGGACGAACTCTTCCACATTGGGGAAATATATACTGAAAAACTTCAGATGAAAGGATTCATGTTTCAGCTCTAGAGCTAGAAACAGATTTTGTCCCCAAAGAATCTGAGCTACCTTYAGTCTGTCATCCTTTTGTAACAACAGGGAGAAGAGGCAGGAGCTGGCTCTTTTGAGCCCATTTTTTTCCGGGAGCTTTGCTGGAGAGGGACTTGTGAAACTACTGGAAAGGGATTAGAGATAGTTCTAGTCTCTCTCAGGCAGCCACTCCCTCTGCTAGAGTGGAGTAGGCAAATTAGCCTTTTCCAAACCTGTACGAGCATGGCCTCACCAGCAGCACCAGGACTGCAGGTTCACAGCCATCTCTACGGTACAGCAGCTCGGTACAGGACGAGCCTCACACATCCAAAGMCCAGTTGGCACTGGTGATGTCCCCACTGCCACACAAAGCTTTACGGGACGGCCTCCCCCAGCCAGGCCCCGGGCCAAGGGCACACCGCGGGATTCCCCATCGGCCCTGGGGCTCACGGGCGGCGGCAGCGGGGGGCAGACGGGCCCTTCGGCTCCCCTCACGGAGTCGTAGCCCTGCTCCGCTCCGATCGGGCAGGGGGGGATGGCGGGCACTGAGAGACGGAGGGGGCGCGGAGCGGAGCGGGGCGGGGCCCCGCCAGACGAACGGGGCGCGGTGTGAGGGGTCAGGGAGGGTCGGATCGGGTCAGGCCCCGCGCGGGCCTTTGGTCGCCACAAGGGAAGGGGGGAAGGAAGGGGGGAAGGAGCGGGGGAAGGAGCGGGGGAAGGAAGGGGGGAAGGAAGGGGGGCCGGGCCGGGGCCGGGGCGCGGGCGGGCACTCACGCGGGCACTCACGCGGACACCGGCGCGCGCCGGGGTTTTGCTGCTGCCGCCTTTGGCCGCCCGCGCGCCGCCGCCAATCCCGGCCCTCGGCGGAAGCGGCGGCCCCGGCCAATGGCGGCGCAGGGCGGGGAAGGGCGCGCTGCCATTGGCCGGGCGGAGGGGCGGGGCCCGGCCGGAGCGCGCGCGGGCGGGGGCGGGGCCCGGGCCCGGGGGGCGTGGCCTGTGCCATGGCCGGTGTACGGGCTGGAGCGGGATTCTCCCTCAGGAGGCCGGACCCGCCTGATGTGTTCAGGGATCCGCCTAATATGCTCAAGGCCCCTGCAGCAATATTTGGCCCTTAGACTTTCTTTTCTACGTGGGRTTATTGCGAAATAATCCAGTCCCCAATAAGTTCTTGTTCTCATTAGCTCCGCTATGAATTCAATCAGGTAGCYCAGAGGCCAAGGAATGGCTGCACCTACACCATTATCGTGGGGGAGCAGCTTGGCTTGCAGCTTTGCCTGATTGCCTGATGACAGAACAAAAAAGATCGCACAGAATACAAAACTAAATTTGCCTCTTGGCTCTGGTCTGGGCTGTAACCACTGACCAGTAATGAGCAGGACTAAGGAACTCAGTGGAASTATTGGAACTTTTTACAGTAATGTTTTGTTGATGCCTGAAATAGTTGCATTTTATTGAAACCAAAACAGTTGTATATTTGTAAATAGAAGAATTTAGGACTTATTGTCTTATTTTTRGTCAATATTTCTCCTTTTTTTAAGATAAAAGAATACTGCTTTTGTTAAAGAGTAGCTCCCCTGCATTTGATGGTGCTAATGCACCTGACCTAACACATAGATCTCTCGTTCACTGGAATATGAACTAAAATACTCTTGTTTATTTATTTCATAATTCAGGTAGAGATCTGTAACTGCAGCCCTTGGTAAATAACAACCAAGCCTGAGGTTGCCAAAGTTCCCAAGGCAATATTCTAACTTGGCTTTACCTTATAACAAGCTGTGCTTAAGTTAACAAATGGTCAAAAGAAGAAGCAGGTTCCACCACTTTTGTTGTGCTTCCTGTTACACATTTTAGAAGCAGGGTGCAGAAATGAGGTTTTGGCGGGTTTGATTTGATGTGTGGGTTTTTCTTTCCCAACAATTATTCTAATCTGCACTTTCTGTTTAGGGCTCTAATATGTCAGTGCAGCAGCTTGAGATTTAGTGAAGTAWGGTAACTCAATAATTTCAGTGAAGAGTGACTATTTAAAAGCAGATTATATCAAGCAATTTAATTAGGTATAATGACAAAATAATGTGGGTCCAATTCTGTTCTTTCTTTTATACCTGTGATCTTACAGAGGTTCAAAGGGCACCACAAGCATTCATGAGTGCRGGCTTGTCCTAGTGCTAATGACAAATAACATGATTCTAAATTAACCTCTTTGGACAATCTTATCTACAGCCATTTGTGAATACTGTTGAACCAGGAATTATGTTTTCCAGTTAATACTTGTAAAACAGCTGCTAATTATTTACAAGTTGCTTATTTAGCTTTGTTGCTCCTGACCAGCTCAGGGTTTCAGCCAACTTCTCTGGCCTCCCTGCCTTGGTATTGTCATCATGTGGAATACCAAATCACCACCATTTCTATACAGCTTCCATTAATGGCACTTCTCTCTCAGTCATATCCATACTAACTTCCTCCTTGTCACTTAARTTGCATTTTTACAAAGTAAGAAATCTGCTTTCTTTACATCTTCTTACCAAGACCCTGTCTAGGTGTGGTTTCCTTCCCTGCTATCTCAATTTATCTTTGTTCCAATGCCAAAATTATTTTCACTTAGACTCAGGTCATTTATCTAGCTATCTCCTCTCCATTTCCTCCTTTCTTATTAATCCAAATATGTGCTCTCYCATGCCRTYCTCCCTGTGATTCTGGTTCTCCATCATGTCAAATTTACTTCTTTTTGATCTCACCAACATAACTGGCCTCGTAGTATAATCTAATATTGTCTCTTAATTTATTGCCCCACTCTTTCTAGCCTGCCAGAAATGCCAACCTTGATGCTTGTCTGCATTTATGTCTTACAAAACACTTTTTAACCTTCCTGTTTCTCCTCTGTTTAAAKGGGAAGTTAAGTCAGATTAGGTATGACTCTTCTCATATGAATATATTCTCAAAAGTCATCTCTTCAGCAATGTTTTTCTCCTTGTACATCTTCATGGGAGAGTGATGGATCACATGTACCATTTCCAATATATTTCCTCAGTWCTTGCTTAGGTACCTTAAGCTTATTTTTGTTCTGTTTCGAAGAATGTAGAAAATGTAAAGGTGCAGCYCCTGATTTGCATCTACACAGCCTCTGTGCCTTTGCTGTAGCATGAAACACTCCTTTACTGTTGGCTTGGGTGACCAGAAACTCCTTCCCTCATGGGGCAGAGAAGGCTCCACCTTCTCATTCAACACTGAGCTTCCACTTCCAACCAACACCACAGCAGGAACTTCTCAGAAGGAAAGAGAAGAAATTGCATCAACTAAATATGACAAACAAAGCAGCACATGTAATGCTCTGTGAGCCAAACTGCTGCACTGTCTTCTCTCGTGGCTTTACCTCTAGGCTGGATATGAAGGGTGAAAAGCCAAATGACAAGCCAGGCCCATGCAGAATGTTCCCTACAGCTGACAAGCAATCGCCAAAGCYCGTAAATGGGAGCTCGCCAAGAAARGATCCAAACACTGCTGTGTGAKTGCATCCACTGCTGCCAGAATCTGCAGCTGAATCAAACTTTTTCTATCTGCTGACAGGCCTAAAAGAATCTGTGCTGACACTAGATCACATCTGTTAACCTCTTCCTAGGTCAATTAAACTCAGAATCTTCCTGTGTTCGTACTGTTCTCCAGCCTTAAAAAAAATAATAAGCAAGATCCAGGAAGGTAATTAGTTGTATCCAGCAGAAACAGAGGCAGGAGATCCTTAACATCCCCTTGCTGCCAAGAACATCTGTTCATAAATTAGAAACTTAGAATTAGAAGTTGGAAACTACTTAGAAATGGCAAATAAAATCAGTTGTTGCCCTGTCAGTTTTGAAAATAYACATATACACATATAGACAAAATTAAATGACAGTAGAGACTGTTAAATGTACTGTTCAGTTTTCATTAGCCTAAATGACACATGCTTTCCTATTTCTAATTACCCTTTTTGTTAGCAATATGATTCTATGGCAAAAGTTTGCTCTCTTTGGCACCAGGTTGAGRCAAATCTCTTCATGCTATTGTGCCCTTTAGGAATACTGTCAAATTCAATCATTCAGGACTCATGAGTCTTGCACTAACATGAAGAGATTGATTTGAAAACCACGGGACTAAAGTCCTTTTYTCTGTTTTCCATTTTCCATTTCCATTCCTTAACCAGGAAAGCTGAGATTGCCAGCTTTGCTCTCACATGCAAATGAGTGCAGCCCTAGAATAATGCACTCAGATGTGGCAGTGACTCTCTCCAGCAATTTCTGATCAGTTATATCTGAAATAGCAAAAAATATTGTGGTGTCAGAAAACATATTACAATACATAGCAGTCTCTACAGCCTATTTAAAAGCAGTTAAAATAGATATAAAAATTACTTCAAGCAAAGATACAGAGGAATTCTTGACCTTTTATAAACTGGGTCTCATTCAAACCAAGYATTTTTCAATAAAATCTATTGATATATACCTAATAAGGAGTGTAGGCTCTCCTACACAATGGAAAAGTTTTAAAAGGCCAAGCTGAGTAAGCTGATGAGTTTGCTGTAGCAGAATGAGTTTGTGCAAACCTTGACTTAGAGCACAGCTGTTAAAGGTAACAATTTTTATCTGTTTGTGCGAGGTGCTGTGGTTGAGCCGTGCTGTGCACAGCTCTGATGCTCGCATTGCAAGGTGGATACTGAAAAATGGAGTGTAGAGAAGGGCTACATAATGATCCGAAGTCAGAGAAAATTCTATGTAATTGAAGAACTAAAAATCTTAATTTACCCACTGAATCAAAAAGATTGAAAGGTGAGTTGATGATTGTATACATATATGCACAGAAAAAATATTGAATATAAGGGCCACTTGAACCTACCAGAGTGAAATAAGRAGGAATAACATCTAGTAGCTGGAATCTAGCAAAATAAAATAGTTTCCAGGACCRAGTTCAGTACTGACAGTAAGTATTYCTTGGAACAGTTAAGTGCTGTCATTGATTACTCAACTTTGGGTGTTTTCAGATTGAGATCCAGTGTCTCCCTGGAAAATGCAGCCTAGCCAAACACAGGCTGGGTTGTGTTTGAGTACAGCAGGCCTAGTTGAGGGTTGAATACACTTGCCTGTAATTTACAGGACTACCGACTATATACTCCCGTAGMCTCCTTTAGACTTTATAAATTTCTTTACTTTGTAAACTCTTCAAAACATCTATAAATATTTTCCTCCTACCACCCCCATTTTAGCTTTCCTTTCCATGCATGCCTCATCTGTATTTGGCTATTCTGTCCCACTTGCACAGCACTGTGGCTGGAAAAATACCACTGACAGATTAAGGAGGCACCTACTTCTTGTCTCAGCTGCTGAGACTGCACAACTCTTAGAGAAGTTTCTTTAGAGGTGYCATGGCCCTCACTTTTATTTGACCTCTAGGAGAATGCCCTTCATCCAGTTCAGCTCTCTCTGTATCTGGTCTGTGGTTGTGCTTCAGAGACTTTTTCAGCCTTTCAAGGAAATAGATAAAATCAAAACTTTTCTCAGGAGCACCAGTCCATTTGAAGTTATTTAAGTGTTCTTATAATTTCAGCAGCTTTTGTGGTTGCTTACTCCTAACAGGAATATTTGGCTTGTAAAAAGCTGGCATCTAACGTGTATTAGCTGTGTGCTTTTCCTCTTTGAATGTAGAGCTACCGTTTTCTTTGTTGTTCTTTATGYTTTATCAACACACAAGATTTTCCTCATGTTTAAACAAGAGATTCTGGTCTCCTAATAGATATGTAGATAACACTGTGTTTTTGCTCCAGTAGCTGACATAAGGCTGAATCTGGTAACCTCACTTACTGAATAATTGTGTTGTCAGTGGGAATACTCACACATG